GCGCTGCACCAGGTGGAGCCCCGAGGACCAGCCCGAGGGCTTGAGGTTTACAGGCCCTCCCGCATCGCTTTCTGCTCTGGCTTGGTGATGCCTTTTCGGTTGCCTTGGTGAGGGCACAGCGGTGCCAGCTGCCCGTCAGCCCTGTCCGGTCCCTCCGAGGCTGCGAGCCCGGAGCAGGCTGGCACGAAGGACAGCAGTACCCCCGGCTGGGCACGGCCGGCAGAGGAAGCCGCGGTGGATGGCTGAGCGCTTGGGCCCTGCAGGCTGCAGGGATTAACGATGGAGGCACAAACAAGCATGGTTAATTGGGCTGGGCTTTTCAAAAAGAGTAGAAGATGACTTGGAATAGCCAAAACCGTGCATGTTGCAAAGCGTCTCATTATTCAATAAGAACATGTTAGCCCCTGTGGGAAAGCCAGCAACAAATGGCTATAAAGCAAAGTTAAATGATGACATTAGAGACTACGTGCAGGCTTAAACAGCAGGCTACATAATTACCAACTGAAATGGCTGCACAGGCTTCACTCAGGAAAGTTAACACCCAGTTTGGAAAGGGTTTGTTGGAAGAGCAGCCCATCTTGGGCAGCTGTTACTCAAGGGGCTTTACATAGTGTATTAAGCAATTTAGTGGTCTAGACCGGAGCTGTGGTTTTTCTTTTTCTTTTTTTTGGTTTGTTTGTTTTTTAAGGAAAAGATGGTGTGCTGGACAATTCTGCTTCAGTTTGCGATTCACTCTTGGATGCCCGTATAGGTGCCGCTGCCGTGAACATGGATATCAAACACAGCAGAGAGAGGAGCCAGTGAAGACTCTCCCTGGGCTGAGGTCAGGAGTGCAACTTTGTCCATACTGTCCATACACACTTTGAGTGTGGATGGATTTAGCAACCAAAACGCACCATCTTGTAGCTTTCCTACTGGGATCAGGAAATCTGAACTCTGGTGGGCAGCCCTTGGACCTCAGCAACTGCCCTCCCATATGTCAGGGTTGCATCCAGCCCAGTAAGCAGTGCAGGCATGTCGTACCACCCGTCGTCCCTGGAACAATCATGAGAGGACATTTACCTTTCTACCTGTGGTGTTTGCTCAGCTGTGGACAACCAGAATGATGACTGTAGTTTTATTGCAGCGTTACAGCTGTCACTTTTGGAGAGCTCTCCAGCTCTTGAACAAGAGCTTTCGTAAATCCCCATCTTGCCTGCCTAGCTATGATGTTTCTATCACACTGTTCAGCCTAGAATAAAAAGATTTTATAGCCAGGTAAAACAAGTCAGATGGCTCAGCTCATTGCAACTCTGAAATGGAGAGGCACTGAGACTTTCTTATGGTCTTGCAAGCAAAAACGGGGAGTTACTTGCATACGTTGGTCCCCAAGTGCCCCAAAGGAGAAGAGGGTCTGCGTTCTGGACCAGAGACTCATCCCTGAGAACACAGCTCTTGCAAAGGTTCTTGAAAGCAATTCAGCCAAGGAGTCCTGAAGCAGATCAGTGTTTTTTGTTCTGCAAACCACATTATATCACGCTACTTGGACATTGCAATATTGTACAGTCTCAAACCAAAATGTTTCAATGTTTCTAAATCGGCAGATTCTAGGATGTCAGAATTCCCCATGGGATGAGAAGTCCATTTTGCAGCTCTTTCTTGGTGCAAACAGTGATCAGCACTTTGCTACCATTTACTGAGCCCAAGCAGCAGGAGAGGGCCCCGCTCCATCCAATTGCCTCTTTCTTTCAGCTACTGGCACCTCATGGCTACGATTTCTCTTGTTTACTGCTGAATTCTCCACTTCATTAGTAGTGCTAACTGGCTTCTCTCTTCTGTTAGGCTTCAGGTGAAAGTGGCTCTTTCACGCTTCCAGGCTGCAGAGCCTCTTCCATTTACCTCTCAATGAGCTGTAGTTCCTGTATTAAATAGCACAAGCTGTTTAAGCAAAAGGCAGCAGCAGTAACGGGAGCTTTGTATGATTCCAGAGGAGGGAGCTTAGGAGAACTCACTTGGAGGTGGATGCCTGGGCACATGGGGCAGATTTGCTTGATGGACAAATCTTGTTCTCATGGAGAGTGAGACAGCTCCTTCCGCCCGGCTCAAGCCGAGAGGCACCCCGCTCTGCCCGTGGCATGTCTGTTCTGGCACCCGGGGAGATTCGCTGCCACCTCCCTGAGTGCGTTTCACTCCTGGCTTTGGGGAGCACTGAGCGCTTTGCAGGCCCACTGGGGGAACAGGGCTGATTTCTCCCCTCTCCGCTCTAACACAGCCATGCTGTGACAAGCGTCTCCTGGCATCCCGTTCCACATCAGGGCTGGGTGATTCCTCTCCAGCCTGGGTTTTTAAGACCGGGTCTCATTTAAGACTGAAACAAAAGTGGGGGCCAGTCTGAGGTAAGGAAATATGCAGGTATCCAGACCCTGCGCTGGATTTTCCCATGACCTGCGGTTCCCTGGAGGAAGCCTGGTCTGGCCGCGGATCCTTTCGAGGCCAGTCCTGGACTCTGCAGGGGAATGCGTTGGCTGCAACTGCAAGCCGTTAGACTTGCTGTGGCCCAAGTCTTGCCCCGCAAAGCTGTCTGAAGCAGTCGCTTCCAGGAGCTCCAGAAAGCGCTGGCCTGTGGCAGGCAGCACTGCTGCTTTGCTTTATGCTGTGCCATTCTCCAGCGAGGGGCTGGCAAGGGGCTGGCAGTGCTGTTAGGGGACAGTGGACACTGCTGTTGCACAGCTTCAGCTTCCCTGGCAGGACTGAAGATTGAAGCCAGGTTTCCCAGAGCGCAGTACCTCTTTAAGAAACAGACCTACTCTCTCTCTTGCTCTCTCTCTCTCTCTCTCTCTCTTTTTTTCAAATACCATAGTTTTCGTTGGAATTTGTCCATAGGGAAATGAGGTCTGCAGGGTCCAGTCCAGGTTCTCAGAAACATTTTGCAACCTTGGAAAAACCGTTCAGGGTGCTTGGGCCTTCCAGAGCCGCTCAGGCTCTGACACCCCAGGGCGCACAGGAGGCAGCCAGGCTTTCGGTGCCCGCGGAGGCAGCAGGCACGCAGCAGGGTCGCCCCTGCGCTCGTGTGTCCAAAGCCAGGGGAACTTGACGCTGCTTTTGAAACTCCC